AAGAAAAAAAATAAGAGCGGGGGCGGGGCGGGAAAATCCGAACCTCGTCCGAGGCAGGGATGAGTACCTAAATTTTACTCTAGCAAGTATCGGAGACAGTTTAAATTTACGGGAGCATGACCGAGGAACGTAAAACCTGCCACGTTGCCATGCCTATACTGTGAAGAGAGGGGTAGAATAAGAAATTCATAACGTAATCATGGGCCTTCCTTTTCAAACGTAGCCCATTTTCATTTAAAAAGCCTCCATTGAAGACTGAGCCCAGTCCAACTAAAATATCTAAGTAACTAGTACATCGTTTGACAAACAAGAAAAAAAATAATTAAGTGTAGCATTTGTGAGTTGTATGATGATATTAAACTAAAAATGTAAATATTTTATGCTATTATACTTTATAAAAATTAATAAGTATCGTTATTAGACAAATTAGAGGAAATGTATATTGTAACAGCATATTTCTTATACATGAGATAATTGTTTATCTATAAATAGATGTAAATTATTTTAGAAAATAAAGTGTAGAAGTATTACAATTAATTACAAATATATATATATATATATATATATATATAATTATATTTCACACCATGTTTTCACGTGAAATTTTGTATTATGATATTTATTCTCCTTAAGTATATCAAATTAGAAAAAGGATTTGCAATTCTGCATATGGAATATTCTCAAAGCATCTTATAATTGTATAACAACAAAAAATAAAAACACAAAAAAAATATATTATACGTAACTACCACTGGAGATCGAAAGGATAATTATTGTCTAGCTCCTAACAAATAATTAAATGAAAATTAGAAGTCAAAAGGGATTAAAAAAAGCAAATTGTTTTATTGAAAATAAGATATTTAAATTTTTTAATTTAAATATTATGATGTTATATTTCTTCTTTAACTTTGTGTAAGGGTAATAGTACTATAGTATTATACTGTTTATTGTAGTGTATAATATTTTAACATGGGATTTTTATATTTAAAAAATGAATAAACATTAAAAAAAAAGGAAAGTTGCTCTAATCCCTCTAGGATTTGTTTAAATGTCATACAAATCTTTTCTATTTTTTTAAAAAATTATTCATCTTTCTCAAGATAATGTTATTGATTAAAGTGAGAAAATGAGAAAATATAAAAGTCAATTCATATTTTGTCAATCATGTACACATTTTTTATTTATTTTTAATTACGTACAATGTTATATTTTTTTTTTATGAAAATTCTTATTATTCTTTAATTTTTTGATAATAATAATTTTTTAATCTGCATCATTCTTTGAAATTGTTTCTATAGTTAGTATATTTTTTTAAAACACAACATGCATGATGTTTAAGATATAATTATTAAGAGTTAAAATTGAGTAAGAAATTAAGTTTTATTTAATTGTTAACGCTTACATTAATAATTTGTTCCCTTTTAACTGACATAAGTATACAAATAGAATTATTTTATATAAGTGATTGTATGTGTCACTTAGATAAATAAATAAATAATAATATTCACTTAAAAACCAATAGAAATGTATAACATTTAAAAAAAAAAATTGAAGGGAAGTCAATGTAATTTTCTAGAAAAATTAAAAAAAAAAAAAAGAACTTACATTACACTTTATTATTCAAATAACTCAATTTGATATGAAATATAATATGTTAAAGAATATAGGTGGGTACATATTAAAGGGAAATGATAGTTTCATACTACTTGTCATGCCTTTTTAAGCTAGGAATGAGAAAATTAGAGAATATTTTGAGACATGTTTCTTTATTTTTTTAATAAAAAAAATATTACAATAATGCAATAAAAACAAGATGTAAATATCATATTTGTTATTATATATGTTGAGAAAGGAAAAAAAATGTATTATGATGAAATCATATTTAACGTAAAAATATAACTATACGAAAGATAATTAATATTAAGAAAAATCTCTATTATAAAAAAAATAAAATTATTAAAAAGAATTTTCAATAAATTCTTTATCTCTCACAATACTATTTAAGAACTAAATATTATTACTTTTACTCTTTTTTTAAAATAAATTATCATGATTCTATACACTTATTTATATTATAATATAAATAACATCAGTCTCGATTGATTAATATAGGTTAAATTATTAATTCAATGAATGAATTATAGTTATTTATTATATATGATAAACATATTCGAATCATTCATCACAAAATGCATGAAAAAGTGATAGAGGAATTAAAAATAATAAAGTAGGCCATTAATTTTTAAAAGGAAGATATGGACAATCTAACTTAAATTAACTTAGAATTGACATTGAAATAACTAAAAACCTAACTAGAAGGGAAAACAGTTCTTATTATGAAAGTTGGATATGCATTTACTAAAAGGTGGGAGAAATATCAATAGGAAGCATTGGTTGTACGATTAATATATAACATAATAATGCGTTTAACTATCAGTTGTCGTCTTTATGATATATATATATATATTCATAATTTTTAAATTAATAGTAACTGAAGTGGGGATGTAGATTATTAGATAGATGATTACACGAAAAGCTAGTATATAAAGAAGTGTTTGGTAAGATAATTTATTTTAGGAACATGTTAAAGAGTGCCAAAATCTTTTACACGAAATTATTTGAATAGTACGTATCACTTTTTAAACACATTTGCTTTTGTATTTTTATTGAACCGTAATTTTTGTTATGGCAGTTGATCGGTTAAAACTAAATTTCGTTTCGTACTATATAGCACCGCTCTTTTTTCCTTTTTTTAATACACGAGTTTATACGTCATAATTTTTTTAAAAATTTCACTAAAGTCGAGTTAATGATTAAGAGTGTAAGATAACAATTTATCTGTGAACTTGACAACTATCATAATTATATTGTGATGAATTATGTTGAGTTACTTAATTATAATTGGATTGGATGATTGATGAAAAAAGTTTTCGAATTTGATTTAATCTAATTCATAATAAATTATTTAATTAAATTATAAAATACTATATTTAATCACATATACAATATATTTCTCTTTATAGTAAAAAAGGATAATTTAATTTCACTTTTTATATAATTTAAAATTGTTATGTTTGCTTATTTGAGACATTTGTGTTTTAAATTTTTTAAATTGTTTAACTCAATCCAATTATAGTCGGGTTAGGTTAGATTGGGTTACTCTAAAAGAAATTCACAAACTCCACCCAATCTAATTAAATTAAATTTAATCAAGTTAGGTACTAAAATAGTTTAAACTCCGTCTGTTTACATTTCTACTAGTAATTATGATAAGGGATTTTAAATAGCATATGCAATCTCTGATCTTGATAATGTCTTTGTACTTACAAAATAAAATAAAATAAAAATAGAGATAGTAACCCCTACAAAAGTGAGGGTAAAAATTGGATAAGAAATATGAACGATAATTACTCTAACACTTTCTAAAAAAAAAAATTCTGATATTTTTTTTGTATTATTGGTTAAAATTACAATTTTTGTTGAAAATTGCCACTATAGTTAACAATAACCAAGTTTAATGTTTAAATTCCTATCATTAGTAAAAATGAAGTTCAATAATGCATTGTATATGTGAGTAATGATGTAATATTTAGAGATAAAACTTATAAAAAAAAAGAAAAATATTTTTTTATTTAAAATTATTTTAACATGTGATTGATATTACTATTCCCTATTTGTAAAATCAGAGAGATTAAAATTTTCTATTTTAAAATAAGAGATATCACTTAATTTCTATAAGTATCGACTTAATAAGAAATAATTATATCTTCTTATATAATAAAAAATAAATATGAAGTCTACATTGACAAAAATTTAAAAAAACAAAAAATGTAATTTAGTTAATAAATTATTTTTATTATTAATACATAATCAATAAAAAAACTACATTTAAAAAAATATAAAATACTAAATCAAGTTGAAACAACATTACATATAACCTAAACCTGTCTTATAAATAAATTAGATTTAGTATTAAAATTTAAACTCATCGATTCTCTTCAGGAGGGATGATTGTTATCAGACTCTACTTGAACTAGTGTGTCCGCCTGGTTGACTAGAGAATCGACCATTTAATTGGTCTAAATTGGCCAATGGATCGATGATGCTTTTAACTTGTTATGACTCAGTCTGACTTGTCAGGTTTGGCCTAAAACTAGTGACTCAACAGGTTTGGATGACTTAACTGGGTAATGCATGTATTTGTATTTATTTTAGTAATACGAAATTCGTGACTCTCTTATGTTTATCCATCTCCTTTGTTGTATAGTTCTAACCGCACCGTACAATGTTTGTTGTCTTTCCTTTCTTTGTAATTGTGTACTTTGACAATGCAGTATGACCTTATTGGTGTAGTGCATTCTTCATTTTTTCATTGTACAATGACACAACTTTCAACATTTGTCATCTTTTGTCATATGTTCTCATCGTACAATGGTGTGTTTATCATTTGCTCATCACATAACAACAAAACCTTTTATCTAGTGTGTGGGTCACATTTTTTTTGTGCTATTGCTTGTTGGTTGGATTGGGTGGTGGTTATCCTATTGTTACTTGCTTGTACATGAGTTTAATTTTTTTTTTAATTTAATTTATTATGTTGCTTAGTTGCTTTGATGAAACTGTGTATATTTTAAAAAAATTTAATGCCTCTGTTCATGAAAATTTTATAATATACCTTTTGAAGCATAAATTTTATGTTATTAATTATTTATAATTTTTTTAATATAAATTGAGTTAATTGTGGATCCAAGACCCTAGATTAATAAGGACAATTTAAAAAAAAATAAAAAATTATAATTAACATTGTCATATAAATAAAAAATACAAATATAAAAAAAATTATTAATGAGTTGAATATATAAAATAAGAATATAAAATATGATATTTTTTAATATATATAAATAATTTAATTAAAGTGAGAAAGTGCATTTATCCATCTTCAGTGCCACTAGATGGAGTCATGTAATCACTTGATAACTCAATCATTTGATTTCAGATTTAATATTTCAATCGAGAGAGTATCAAGTTGGGTCCGATAAGATTGGGTGGGTAAGAGTCTTACTCCTATTAAAACCTAAGAAACAAATTGAGAGACGAGAAAGGTGAAAAAATAAAACAAATATTTAAATGAGATAAAAAAATATAATATAATCTTTAAAAGAATTGATAACACATATTTTGAAGGTAAAAAGTAAAAAGAGAAAAAGATACGTTGCGTATCTGGTGGGTGGGCGTGGGGATGTGAACAAGGTGCGTTAAGGCACACCACCCCCACCCGTGCATTTCTTTTGTCCTTAAGTGCTCTCTTTTCATTAATCGCTTTAATATATATATATATATATAAATTGTTATTTTTTCATTGTACAAAATTTGTATGAAAATGTTATAAATATAAATATAATTTCAATTTTGGAATCATACGTCGCTTTTGCGTCCACTTTAGTTCTTCTTTAGTTTTGGCGCTCTCTCTCTTTCTAATATTGATTGCTCGATTTCAAAATAAAATAAAAGCAACAACATTATATTACAATATCATATATTTATTAATGTTATTATTAACATGATTTGCTTATAACTTATAATATCATCAGGGGCTTCTCAGTGCCCACTTCTCAAAACTGCAATCCAAATTGCGTTTTCAATTTCATAAATTCAGGTTCTTCTCCTCTAAGTAACACTTCATTACAAATCCTGCTCTTGTTGTGTTTTCTGTATATAGTTTTTGCCTTATAAGGTGATTAGCTTGCTTACTTTTTGCTCTGGTGTGTTGCTGGGAATTCCATGTTTTCCCCTCTTCTATGTTTTCAGTTTCAGTTTTTATCCTTGGGACGAAATTAACGTGTACGATTTGAGTGTTTCCATTTTTGGATATAATTATTTATCAAATTTCACAGCTTGTCAAAATATGAGGGTGTATGATCAACTGCCAACTTTATACTCTGAATTATACACGTATTATTACTAATTACAATGACTGTGAACTAAACTAATCATATTTAATTTAACTGGGTTTTTCATGAAGTTGGTTTGCTGCGTCTTGTTCCACTTTGTAGTTCGCAAGTTTGGATTTTATTTTCTAAAAATATTCCTTTTTTTGGGGGTGGGGTGGTCTTGTAAACATGTCTTTAGTCACGTGGGTAAGATTAATAAGTAGATGGATGACACAAGAATGATCAATCCTTGGAACTGAAGATATTATGTACAGCCTATTCAGCAGTGTTGAGTGATTGCCCTCAAAGGCTAACTTCATTGTTGGGGTTATGGCCTTGAACAATTAAAGGAAATTAAAGAATCAAACCAGAATTGGTTGGTCACATTTGATGCTCTTTATTTCACATCTCTTGTATTGTATGGCATCCTTTTTATGTTTCGTACACAATTATGGACGTAGCGTGAGACAATCTAGAAACTCTGCCCTTTTTACCATTTATATTTTGGAAATGATGACTCCCTTAATTAGATAGGTACTTGTCTGTAAGAAATTGTTAAATACTTACCTGATTTTAGCGGTGTTCTTTTTTTATTTCCATATTCCAGATCTTGTTCTGCAAGAGTCGGGTACAGCTGTCAGTTACCACCACAGAATTGAAATACGTTCGGCAGCTGAAAATTGATTTTTAATTTCCTCTGGAGTAGACTAACTGTGTCAGGTAACATTGGTACGTGGAGTTTGACTTGTGAAGCATGTTGCACAAATATGTGGCTAGGGTTAGCGAGAAAATTTGTGCCTCATATATTGTTCTGAATCTGATTACCAGTTGTTGTAATGGGAAATAGCTCAACATACTTGTAGCAGCAATGAATTATGTTACTCTATGGTTGTGTTTGTTAACATTTTTTTATGATGAGCCTAATGTTGCTAAATTTCCAGGAACACAGCTCTATCGTTGCCGTTGGAGTGGGAGGTAAAGTGATTTCAGTTCAAATGGAGCAGTATGAAATTCTGGAACAGATTGGCAAAGGTGCATTTGGTTCTGCTCTGCTTGTCAGGCACAAGCATGAAAAGAAAAAGTGAGGACCATTCAATCCCTTGTTGACGTGTTTTTAAGATATTATATAACCCTTTACAGGTTGAGTCTAGTTTGTTAATTATTTATTTGTGAACTTATGACTGTTGCTAATATTGATAACCTGTTATATCATATAGTGTACTATTCTTATTTGTGTCGTTTACATTTTAGGTATGTCCTTAAAAAGATTCGCCTTGCTCGCCAAACGGACAGAACCCGTAGGTCTGCCCACCAGGAGGTAATCCAATCTCCTTTATTTCCCATTCTCTAGTTGTTAGAGGGAAACTGAATTAAGTTCTTAAGTGGCTTTCCTCTTTCTTTGATGTTGAAAGTGACACATTCATTCTCGTACACTTTCTGTATTATGCTTTGCTAGTATTTGCAGCTTGAAAATTTGAAAAGTTGATATTTAAGCCAAGTTTTATACATTTTCAGTTAACTTTACATTTGAATTTCATTGCAATATTTAAACTTTATTTCTTTCTTGTTGTTTTATAACTTGAAATGTGAAAAGAATATTTATGTTGTCTTCTTTATTTATTAGATTGTAAGATGTTTTGCTGGTTCCTTGTCTTGCAGATGGAGCTTATATCTAAAGTTCGTAATCCATTTATTGTGGAGTATAAAGATTCCTGGGTAGAAAAGGTCAGCCTTATTTCCAATCAGAACTTTCTAAATCTGTTGATTTTATGTTTGTGCGTGTATTGCCAAAGTGACTCTCATTTTGGATTCTTCAAATTTAATGTTTTCGTTCTCTACTTATCTGTTTTCGGATACTTTATTTGTTTATTTTATCTTTTTATCATACTTATAGAAATTTGATAGCAGAACCTCTTTCCATCATGTTGGTTTATAAACTTGATTGATTTGTGATACTGAAATTGGCAAAGCTGTTATCTTTACTTCCAGGGTTGTTTTGTATGTATCATCATTGGCTATTGTGAAGGAGGGGATATGTAAGTCATAATTTGCACTGAATTCAAATATTTGAGGAAGTTAGAGCATTTATTAACACATTGTCTTTTACTTGCCAATTTTGTAGTCATTTAACGGTTTGTCTCTGTTGTACAGGGCCGAAGCTATAAAAAAGGCTAATGGTGTTAACTTTCCTGAAGAGGTTGATCACTCTTGCAGAAACTCCTTTCACTATATGATAATTTTCATTCCAATTTCCATGCTCTTTGCTTTGGAACTATATGAAATAATTGATATACATCAACTTTTGCACACAGAAACTTTGTAAGTGGCTTGTTCAATTGCTGATGGCACTTGATTACTTGCATGGAAATCATATTCTGCACCGTGACGTCAAGGTAATGGATAGGACTTTGTTAAATTAAATAACAGTTGGTGTTATGTAGCTAATATCTCAGAGAACTTTGAGGACCAGCCTTATGTTGATGTCAGTTTTTCACCTGTTACAGTGTTCAAATATATTCTTGACAAAAGATCAAGATATACGGCTAGGTAAACGGCCTTATTCATTTTATCCTCACACTGCTCTTTAGACTTGATCTCTATCTCTATGTTGGGATTTGGTGTGTAGTGTAACATACTGTCCTTATGCTATTCATTCTGGATGCAGGTGACTTTGGTCTTGCTAAAATGTTGACTTCTGATGATCTTGCTTCCTCAGTGAGTGATATTGCCAAAATATTGTTATGTTCACTGTTTCAGCTTTCTTTTGGGTGAGTGAGTGATATTGCCAAAATATTGCTTCCTCAGTGAGTGATATTGCCAAAATCTTGCTCTGAATTTAGGTTGTTGGGACTCCAAGTTATATGTGCCCAGAGCTTCTTGCTGATATACCTTATGGCTCTAAGTCAGATATCTGGTCTTTGGGTAGGATAGATTGCCTTTGTATTCTTCAAATTGCCTAATCTTAATTACTCTTTTCGTTTCCCTCTTCTACAGTATATTTTTAACTGCATTTTCCATTTGTTTTTACTTAACATTTGACAGGATGCTGTATCTATGAAATGGCTTCTCACAAGCCAGCTTTTAAAGCTTTTGTAAGTTATATCCGAAGATTTTGTATTTATTTATTTATTAATGAAGTGTTATTCACAAAACATTTTAATCCTAAGTAGGAGGATTTACTACGGATACAATAATTCATTCAAAACTCTTAAAATTATGTTGTTGGATTATAAGCATTCATGGTCATGTTTGAGACCCTGGGTAATATTATTTTGGAAAGAATTTGCTTCTATTTTCATTTATTATGGCTTACTGACTTTCTGTATTTCACATTTCTAAAGTTTGATTTTAAGCTCAACATTAAATCATTGACTTTACTTTTTATTTTAATTCTTTTTTTGTGTTGTCTTCATTTGAGCAGGACATACAATCATTGATTATCAAAATAAACAAGTGTATAGTAGCTCCCCTGCCAACCATGTATTCTGCTGCTTTGTGAGTCGTCTGTTCCATGAGAATCTTTAGTCATTTAGAATTATCTGTGTAGTTACTGACTTTGCAAAACGTCAATGGCTGGTTTACGTGTTTATAGATATTGATCAAATTTGTAATTGGTATAGACTCTCATACGCATTCAAACTTTACGACCATTAGATTCTATGGTCTCACTTATTGGCTTCCAAAATTATTGTGAAATTGGAAATTAAGTGCTCTTCCATCATTGAGCGATCCATTTAAACTTGACAGCATTTGTCAATATACTCGATTTACGTAATCACCATTCATTATGGTAGAACTAGAAGGTTGGCATGCAATTCAGTCATGGATATGGTTTACCATTGTACATTTTGCAATGGTAATTGGTAACTCTCTGTTAGAGTGAGCAATCCTATTCTGTTTAACTCCTGATATATGCCCTGGCCTGTATATATTATGTATCTCATTGATTCTCCTTATCATTTGATCTTTGCAGTTATAATTTTTTCCTCTTTAGTTATGAACCTCACTCAGTGACATGATGTATATAACTCGTGACATACATATTTCTTCTTTCAGTCGAGGTCTTGTTAAAAGTATGCTGCGGAAAAATCCAGAGCTAAGGCCAACTGTAGGTTCTATCTTTTGGATATTTCTCTGCATTTATTTTGATTATAGATTAAAACTAGTCTCTAAAAGATAAATGATAAGCATAGATTGTTTTGGTGGATTTGTTCAGGACATATTAACTAGAGATTGTTTTGACAGGCTGCAGAATTACTAAATCATCCGCATCTTCAGCCTTACATTCATAAAATTCACCTAAAATTAAATAGCCCCAGAAGTACTTTTCCATTCCAATGGCCCGAGTCAAATTATGTAAGGAGAACTCGGTTCGTAGAGCCAGAATCTGTTTCTACTCTTTCTGACCAAGATAAATGCTTGTCATTTAACCATGACAGGACCTTGAATCCTAGTATTTCGGAAACTGAACAAGTTTCTCATTGTTCTACTCAAAGAGCACATGGATTATCCACTTTTTCAGAAGAGAAACTCTATGAACTATCTGTTGGTTTTGTCCGTGACAAATGCAATACTGACAAATCAAAAGCCACAAAATTCCCAACTGTTGAAAGAACACCAAAACTGAAAGCAGTTAAAGATTCTGCCACTGGCAAAAGGCAAACAGTGGCACCATCAAAGACAACCCACACTGGTTCAAAGCGTGATTCTGTAAGTGTATGCTTTGCACGACTCAATATTAATAATTAAAACCCTGCTGAA